GAATCCGGGTTTCGATACCCGTGATGGGCAGAGCACAGATAGCCCATTGGGTAGCTTTGTGCTTAATTATAAACAAACAAACAACCTATCTTTGTTTAAATTATGTTTTTCTTCCACAAGTATACCACTTGTTGACAGTTCATTTCTCTTAATCTTAAATAGATATAAAAATGCTGCTTTTAATGTGGTGTAAGAGTGTCTAGATATGTTCAGAAACAAGAATAGTGGCATTCCGGCATTAGGAAGATCTGTGTCAACACATCCGATTTCTTTAAAAGTCTGTCCCTGTGTATATGGTAACAGATGTATTACTCCAGCCTTTCTTCCAATAACCTGACTGGACTCACTACCGTGCCTTTAGACATCTTGTACATGGAAACTTATTAAAGTTTGTTGTCCATTTATGAGTCCTATTAAGCTGCATTTTTTTTTCTATGATTAAAAATGTTAAATGATATTTATACAAAATGATCAGATTTTTTAATTACATATGTGACATGTATGCCGTATATTTAGCAAAAAAGATAAATTAGCTTTATTTCATATTGATTAAAACTTCAGTACACTGCATTAGGCCATTTAGGCATTTCGACTTTGATACTGGTAAACAGGAAGAAGACAAATTAGAAAAACAGTAATAATTGATTACCACTCTTTGAAATATTATTTCTCTTAACTTATAACAGATATAATAGATTATAATATGGTATATTATTTTAAAATTAGACTCAACCCGATTTGGGATTTTAACTCATTATACCATACAAAAGTCAAAATATAATAAACTATGGCTCCCCAGAGGCACAGCGGTGTGTCTGCGGACTTACAATGCTAGAATCCTGGTTTCGATACCCGTGGTGGGCATAGCACAGATAGCCCATTGTGTAGCTTTGTGCTTAATTACAAACAAACTATGTGCAAAATAAAATATGGTTATTTTCTACATTCAAACGCCTTTTAGTTTATTACTGAATGAATGCTTAAATAAAATTTAAATAAATTTTGCTAAACATGTGTTTCACTAACCTTCTAAAGCCCCTATTTTTGTGTATGTATTTCTAAATTAATCAAAGTGATACAATTTTGTACATTTAGAATATGCATTGTTTGATCAGATGGTGTTTATTCGGTTGCTATGATATTGTTACGTCTCTGTTCGTTAGTTAATTTTCCGTAAAAATTCTTTCCGAAGAAACTTTACCGATACAAGTCCTTTCTTAAATAAAACTGGTTTATTCTTTCTGAATACAATTTTGTGATACACTTAATTTCCACAGTCGCGCTATAACAAACACTATAATTCACAACGAACTTCTAATGTGATCAACAATATTCTCTCTTCAATTACTCATTACCTTATTGCCATCACGTTGTGACCGTCTTATACATAAAAGAATACCGAGATCTAGTAAACTCCCGATATTTCAGGAAGGGACGTGAACGTTCGAGAAGCTTGTGGCGTGATACTAGGGTCACGTGACCC